CACCCAACCCTAGGGCCTTAGGGAAGGAAGGCTCCACACTCCCACAACCACCCCCTTTTCAAGCTTGCAAAGGTTTCATGTTGGCTCAGCAGAGAATGTGCTGAGTCCATTTTGTGTCCCTGGCGCTCCACAGAAAGATGGAGGGTGGGGGAAATAAAGAGTCCGAGGAAGAATTAAGAAAAGAAAGAACCACGTCACAAACGTCTGCTCCTGGTCATGGTGCGGTGGGTCTGGAGCTGATGCTAATCGGTGTGGTTTCTCTCCCAGCCCCAAGTTTATCCTTGTGTAATTTAGCGTAGGAAAAGCTAATACCAACGTGTCAGGTTGGGTTAATGGAGATTTTTTTCGAGCTGAGCAAAGGCCCCTTCTCATACCACCTCCATCGCCAGGCTGTGCCCTTAAGGAGGCATCCCAAGCACATGACACAAGTAATGCTACTATCAGGGACAAAGATATTGAGGAGCCCCAGCAGGACTGTCCTCTTTGTGATGGCTCTGGAAAAGATGTCTCAGCCATGTTTGTTCGCCCATTTCCAGTAGCCCACAAAACCTGCTAGAAGGAAGTAATTTCCCATCCAACATGAATCCTTCCTCTTCCTCCTATTGGTCATCCCCACTGGAGTGTTTCCAGGCCAGCAAGAGGGCTCTATAGCTCAGAGTGAAAGACCTTCCTGGCACTGTGCCTCTGTTTCTGTCTCTGAATCACAAGGGATTGGACTAGATGACCTTAGTGGGTCCTGAAGCCTCAGATAGCCTGTGGCTCTAGGATTCTAGACCAACAGAAGGGATTGGCTGGGTGCCAGTCCATCCCGAACTTTATCGAGGAGGCTTGGGCCCAACATCATGTTACTGGTGCCCCCTGGAATCTTGCTTTAGGCATCTAGGATTCTACTTCTATCTCTGTTACAGCTGTTTTACCAACAATCCCATCCTCTTTCCAGGCCTCAGTTTCTCCACCTATAAAAAAGGGAGAGTAGGTTCGGAAAAGCTGATTTCTAAGGCCACCTCTAGCTGGTGGTGCCTTACCAGAAGGAGGAGATTCAGTCCTCTGTGTGCTGCTTGAGCAGCTCCTGCTTCAGAGGTAGTGGACGAGAGTGATCTAGACTAAACTGGCTAGGCTAGGGCTAGCACTGGGAAAAGGGAGATGAGGGTGGAGGGCAGCTCTCGGTAGGCAACTCTGGGAGAAGATAGAAGTGGGAAGGCACACAGGGAGGAGGCAGGAAGAAAGAGGGGAAGGAGGTGGGAGGGAGGGAGTAGGAGGCAGGGAAGGGAAAGAATAAACACATAATCAGGGTTACTGAGTTTCCTGTGCAGCTGGAGTCATCTTTTGCTCTTATAAACTCAGCTGCGGCTTCACCGCCCCCTCCGGATGGGTGGCTGCTGCTCCCAACGCAGCTCGTCTGAGACCTGAATGGGGCAAGAGGTGGGCACCCAGGCCTGGGTATCTGAGGCCCTTCACTCGCAGATGACCACCAGGAGGACAAGGCTGAGCTCAGCTGGCCTGGGAGCCATGCGTTCTTTTGAGGCAAGATGATAGGAAAGAAATAATAAGGGCATTGCAGTGAGACGGGCAGGAGTTCCATTCATGACTTGACCAGTTCTGGGCCTGAGACCCTTGTTTCCTTCCCCCTCTCTGATCTCACTTTCTCATGTGCAGATGGGGCTAATGTCCCCTCCAATACATGCAGTCTCATGTACAAGGTGAAGGAGAAGATGGCTGTGGAGGCCCCAGCCCACGCCTGACCGAGTGACTGTTCAACAGCTGGTGTTTCTTGCTGTCTCCTGACTCTTGTTGTCCACCTCCACTCCCAGGCTAAGCTGGCAGAAATCTGGTAGCTTCTTCAGCCTCACCCACCCAGTTTCTGGCCTTTGGAGGGAAACGTAAAGGGTGGAGGAGCCAGATAGCAAGGGACCCTTCCTCTTGTCCCAAATATCCTTGAAGCCTTCCAAACTGCCCCCTCCCAACATGCAGAACCTGGAAAGGTTAAGTAGGGAAGGGAGCAAAGACTACCCTGCAGCCAACATCATTCCAGTAAGGACACCTGGAGTAAGACCTTAAATGTCAGGTCCGGTCTTCAGAGGTTTTCTAAACCCTTGGTCTTACACGAACAATTGGGCAGCTTGGTGGATTATTCTGGGGTGACTGTCCAGAGTATTTATTAACTTCTCAGAGTGGCTTCCAGAAAGTCAATAAGAACTATCAGTTATTAAGCACTCACTGCCTGCCGGAGACCTAGCTTATATTCTCTCATCTCAACCCATAAACCTGGGAGGGATGGAGGAGCCTAGGTCAGTCACTCAGGTGGTAATTGGTCAAGCCAAGATTTGGAGCAGGCCTTACTGACACAAAGGCTCATGCTTAGCCACTATGCTCAGGAGCTGCTGAGGGTGCTCAGCTTAATGCACCTCCCACTCATTTGTTCATTCATTTGTTTATCCAACCTCTAACAATCTATTGAATACCCTCCTTTGTGTCTGGAACTGCTTAGAAAGACCATACATCTTTCTTGTATTCTCCCAAACTGCCCCAGATTGGTCTGGGAAGAAGCCAGCCAGGATAAAGGTGCTGTACAAGACCACTTGGGTGGTCAAAGCCTGAAAGTACCAACAGGTCAGGGCCAGTCTTGCAGTAGTGGGAGT